TTATATGTTTTCATGTTTGCACTCCGAATTATTATTAGCTTCGATTTACTTTCAATGAAACGAAAGCTCCATGATATCTTGTAAAAGTTTTTTTTGCTGTTTAACTATATTGAAAGTTTTTCTCTGAAGCATTGACCTTCCCATTAACAAATAGCTTGTAAACTTTTAAAAAATTGACTATAGCGGATGCAGTTCACTGATTGAAAGTTTTCCCAAAATTTTCTTGTTTCGATTAGATTATCTTGTGTGATTGTTCTACTTCTAATTGATGGGAACTCTAGTTCATTTCTCGTTGGTCTACATTAAAGGTGATTTTCTCGAAAAATGAGAGAAGGCCGGAAAATCTAACTACGTCAGAAAAATTGTCTCATGTGCAAGTACATGTGGTGTAAAGGAGAGCTTTTGAAAAATTGATATAGCATTAGTGCTCCAAAGTGCATTAGTGCATTCAAAAGTAGAAAACGATTGGTGTTTTTTCGTCTCTTTTATAACATAATAATAGTCTATTCTTGATTTTTCTTTGTTCGCTTCGCCGGTTATTCTAGTTTAATTCTCTGTCTCTTCGTCCGGTTCGTCTATTGATCGTATTATATATTTATGTGAAGGTCAAGTTTCCTTGTTATAAAATTTCACATATCTTAGTTGAATTATACTTTCGCTTCGATTTTGTCATATATTTAATTTGGCTCAATACACGTTTTACATTTATTCGTTGCTGCTAATCATTGAATTTCAATCCTACTATATCTTGAACCATTTTCATTTGCTTTTAATCGATATTTATTGAATAACATGACAAAAGAATTATTGAATGAAGTAACATTTACAATAGGATTAGTCGACAGACTTCTACATAAAAAACAAGAAGGCGAAGCTCTCAAAGTATGTAACTGTTGAGTTTTTGTTTGAATAAAATATTTATATTATATAATATTAGGAGCTGGCAACAGTCATTACGACGCTGCACAAAACTCTTAAATGTGAAGAACTAATGGACGTCTTCATTATGGCATGCACGAAAAGAATTAATGTTAATCATAAGAAACGAGATTTTGAAGGTAACAGAATAGTACTTATCTTTTACACCATGACATCAGCATTAAATTTATTGACGTGATTCGTTTCGCTTTTCAGCGCTCTTATTCGATGTACGTCTTCTAGAAGAAGTTCAATACGATATATACAGCGACGAAGACATTTTTCTTATGAAAATGTAAGACAAATATTGTTTCATGATTAGATTGGATTTTTAATTTATGTAGGGAGGCACAATTGGAGTTGCAGAAAAAACAAATATTTGATGAATTTGGAAAATTTAAACTTCGTTGTAAGTATCTATTCGATTGTTTGAACCAAAAATAATGATCTTCTCTTTTTTCCTTATGATCATAACCATTCACTCTAGCTAAACGAATTGAAGTCATACGAGGAAATATTAATATATATGATGATGTCGACGGAATTTTTTCAAGGTATTCTGTATTCATGGAAAATGTTTATTTGTTTTTTTTTATAATTTTAGAGAAAATAAAAAACAAAGAAAAAGAAAAAATTATGGTTAATATATTCGAGCTTTTTTTCGTCCGTGTATGAACATCGTTTGTTTTTTGTGATATTTACGACGAATTTGATGGATATTTTCGTTTTTTTTGTTAATTTACAACTAAACGATAGCTTCGACTATATTGTTTTCTTTTCCAATAAATAAAAAGAGAACAAAATATGATCTCAATTAATCTATACAAATAAAGTTTTTCGATCGCTATAGGCGTTTTGGAGTGTGATATTGATTACAATCATATTTATTGATTTACAACTTCAACAAGGGAATGGTAAGTAGATTACTTATGGGTGGAGATGTATACCCAGTGAGAATCGAGGACACCAAAACAAGAGGCTAAACGGCAGCCGTACACTATCTTTGTATGCGTAAACTGCACACTGCTAAATACGATGCATCATGTTAATCATATAAGCAATGATTGCCACGAACAGTTGAACTTCTTCCATATACGATTATTTCGTTCGATGCTTTGTAAAACAATTAAAAATATTAGTTCGACAAAATGATATATAATAAAGAATGAAAAATAATCTGTCAGCCAAGAAGGTTTTTGAAAGAGGTTTCTGGATAAATGCACAAAAATTAATTCTGTGAAATATACATTTTTCAATATAGAAACTAGTCCAGTAAAGACGTAGTAGAAAAAAAGAATTGATCAGATGTTTAGTTTGAAGTTCAATGCTGATGATTTAGATCTGTGCCAGTTGTTTTTATTATGTAGCTGAGACGATCTAATTTTCATTATTTTTAAAGGATAAAAAAGACGCGTAAGCAACGTTAGCACCCGATTCACTTGTGAATCTATGCTGTTTCTCGATGATTGTACTAGACACAGAATTTCGAGATCTGTAAAATGAGTAATATTGGGAAAACTTCAATTTTTGCTTGATGACCCTCTCTGAAAATAATAGCAGTCGATAGAGCTCAAAATTCTACATCCAGCACAACCAGTTTCAAAAATAACAGAGGTTCACATGCGAATTGAGATAAGAAAAGATTTTATATAACCATTCTATCAATATTTAAACATTAATTCTTTCATATTCCTTGATACATAAAATTTCTTGTGTTCATAAATTTCATACTAAAACAAAATATTTGAATTTCGCAGGAAATAAGATTGAATTTTAAAAGAATTCTTATTTTTAGAGCTTTTCTTTGTAAAGCGAAGTTTGTTAGCTATTCAAACTAGTTTCATTAATAGTACAACAGTACCTCACTGTACCCGAATCAATGCTTAAGGATTAAATATGTTTTATTTAAAAAAATGCATACGAAACAAAAATAAAATAATCACATTAACAAGAAGGTAGATGATGAAGATTATCATTGCATCTACTGAGTCATATTATGTAAAAACGACAAAAGATAATTCTTTCGTCTGAAAGTCAATATCACGTCATGTCATGTACCAACTTGAAATCATGGCACCAACACAGGAAAACAAACCCTTGGAGACGTAGCATCAAATGGTGGTTGCATGTTAAGAAACTGGTTAGAGCTTGATTGTATCATTTTTTTTGGTGATAGTAATAGTTGTCTAGTCGTCAAATAGCGCGCAAGTGGTCTGCTTATCAAATGTTGAGTTCTTTGAAAAGCATTGCTTATATACTACTGTATCGGTTTTCAACTATATGCAGAGGCGTTACATTTCTTTTAAAATACTATTACGCACCATTTACAAGAAAAAAAAGTATTCAATTCCGGTATCTAACCCAACAAATGGTATTATCGCGACTTTATCAATGGAAATATACCCAACTTGTAAGAGATGATCGATTTCTGTTTATTCGTTTGTCTTCTTCGAATAGTTCAAAACATAATTGATAAAAAAGTTTATATTTTTCTATCATAAGAATTATTTGTCACAATTATATAATTAACAAAGGTTTAATTTAGAAAAGATGACAACTCTGAATTCATTTAAATGCTGTTTTTTAGTCGTAGAAATAGAATACAAAGTTTTTCAAAATTGGCTAAATGAAAAACAAAATTAGAAAATTTATAGTTTGAAATCTGTAAAAACAACATGGCAAGATAGTTACATTTAAAACGAAGTTGTTAAGGAAATAGATAAAATTAAATGTTTGTGAATCTTTTTCGGTTTCTATCATTACGTACTATTAATAGAATGCATGTTAAAAAATGATCGACCATGAAATGTTCGACAATGACTTTATATAAAATGGCGTAAGGCTATTAGTACTCATAAGAAAATTAAGACAAAATTTGGTGTCCATTTGAACGACTCGGTATAATTTATTCAACTGTAGGACCACAAAAGTGACTTCGCTTGTAACTATAAACTTCATGTGTTGTTTTAAATGATAGTTCCTCATAAATGGTTCATACTAAATAAAGTTGTGTCCAATGCGATAATTTTCATTTAGTGTGAAGCACTTAATCATGAATTATTTGCTTTTGTTGGTGAACGGTGAAAAGCGTATGAGTCAGTTGGGCATTACTTTATACTAGCTGCAATGCTTTTATGTTCCTAAATTATAAAACACAATGACGAGTATTAGTATTTTGCAGTCTACCTAACAAACGTATCAAATGGTAATTGAGCCGTAATTCAAGTTTTCCTTATAGTTAGACGAAAATGAAAACAAATTTGTATTATTCAAGCAACAATAATTTATCATCCAAGATGTTGATAAAAATCTGTAACATTGATACTTTGATAAAACAGAACAAGATACATCGAACTTATGTATAATTCTCAACAGTGAAAATTACATTCAGCCATTAACTTTTATCACGTCTTTAAACTACTGAAACGTTTCTACATAATTATTCAAGCACTGATCATTTACACCATAGAAATATAAATGTTTACAGATATAGCGGAAGTTTTATTTAAATTAAAACAAAAGAAAAATTAATAAGCACAAAAAAAAGATTTAATAATGTTGTCTTGTACGTTTATTATTGAACCAAACATGAATTTGAACTGGTGTTAATTGAATTCGAGTTGAAAGATCATCGACAGTTAATTTTGATACATATTTATCAACTTAATAAAAATGTTCTTCAAGAATACGATGGACGAAGAGTACAAGCACCAATAGAAGGAGAGCAATAGTATGATTCTAAAATATACTTTGAATAAATATACTGAACAAATTATTAATCAATAAAATTTTTTTTTTAATATTTATCAAGATATTCACATGTTCAATAGATGAAAGTGTATTAAAAGTAGATATGTAGCTAATGGATATTCCTCATACTATTATTATTCTCATTGAAACATTGGATCCTGTTTCTGTCACTGATAGAGAAAATGGAAGATAATAAAAGAAAACAATTATTATTTGAATTTTTTTTACACAATTAATTTATTAAAATAGAATTGTTTGTTTTGATGGTGGAGTTGATGATAAAGAAACAAAATGAAATGGTAAAGATCAAGTTAAAGCAATTTCTTTAATGAAAACTGTTTATGCTTCGTATACAAATAAATGTATATATAGTTTTTTGTTTTTAAAATTTGACATAAAATATTTATTTGAATAGATCGTCTTTGTGCTGTTAGTAGAAGAAATGAAAAATCTCGACCATCAGCTATTACATATAGTGTTCATCCGAAATCATTTTGACAATCAATTTCTAGTTGAGAACCGGATGAGGTGTACAATTTCCTCAACAATATCTCTTTTCTTTTCTAAGCAATAATCAGCACTCATTCATATATTGAATGATATTAGAATGAACGAATTTTTCTTTAGTGAATTCATCTCATGTAATGCTTCAGCCGATAATTGAACTTTGATATCTTTCATTCATGCTTCTTTGGAATTATAATAACTATCTCTATAAACTAAGGGTGTGTGTATCAATGAATTTGTTGAATTGTACATGAATGACTTACGAGAAAAGTATACTCGTAATCTCCTAGTAATAGAAATACTGAATGAGCCTTGCATATATCCGTCGTTCACAGATACACATTTATTTATTTCACAGATGAAGTTAAACATGAATATTTTTGCAAGTTTTATCAAAATGAATTTATTGTTTAATATGAATAACATATATTATTGTTGTAAACATTAAGGTACTCGCGCACTGATATTCTCCATGAGAATCTTGAAAAGTTCGATGAAGATATCCTATATGTACAACTATGATTGACTCGTTCTGTTTCTATAAAGCTCTTACCGATTACCTTCAAAAGTTAATTCTTTAATTGATAAAAAGTCAAATATTTGCAATCAGAAATTACATAATTAGTGTTCCATTGGATTTTAATCATAACCATTCGTTTTGATAGGAATAAATAGAGAAGGAAAAATGGTTGTTTGTTTTTCAACCGTACATATGCTTTTCTATTATTTACCTCAATCATTTAGTTTTATTTTCCTAAACCAATGGATGATCGATATCAATGATTCGTAACTTATGAATTCATTCGATTTAAAAACAGCATAAACCCCTATTCAGTCGAAATAGAAGTATTAAGGAGAAATATTTGATAGCTGATCTCAAATAGAGATTCATTGAGTTTTTCTAAATACTGTTTTGTTATCGGCAAGAATGCATGTTTTCGATTCGTTGTATTTTATTCAAAGATAAAACTCGAGCAAAGGTGCATAAAACAAAATTTACAAGGATGATCACGCCTATGGCAACAAAAAAAAAAAAAACTCGAGGTAAATGAATACAAAAATATCACGCGCTACTGATTAGCGTAAATAGCTTGCGAAAGAGGAAAGACGATGGCTCTTTCTTTACATTCTATGTTTATATAGTCAGTGTATCGAAAAAAAAATTTCATACTAATAATATCACGTTCTCGACGACAAAACGATTACGGTGAATATAAAGACGGTATATATAATTGTTCTATCAATTGATAGGCGGATTCATGTACAATAAGCTACGCTTTATGTCAAACTACTACCTCTTAAGAGAAACTTAAGATTCTATTGGTTGCTATGCTTAATTCAGATTGATAGTATTCATTTGACGTCAATTGATGTGTGTGAATTAAAGTCTTTCTCTCACAATTCACTTATTATAGAAAGAAAAATCTCGAAAGTGATTTTGTTTTGTCACGTTTGCTTTTTAGAACTAGTGGCCTCATTACAGCGAGTAATGCACAAAAGATATTTGACTATCATATACGCAAAGAGAGAAAAAAAACAAGATTTTTCCTATTCTTTCATTTATTTATGCTTATATTTACCTATATACCTATACGCTGCAATAATTAAAGAGACATACTAGAAGTTTCGAAAACACCCTCACCTTCGAAAGAAATTGTATTTAGCTTCTGTCTAACAGCATGGTCTGCTTCTTTGGGCGTGTTGCTTTTGCTTCTATTACGTACGGTACCTAACAGAATGATAATGAACCGTGTAACGCTTCTTTCGTCTTACATCTCATCACTAGTGTGTCGATTGATATACAATACGAAAAGTTAATGATAGGACATGTAGACTATCTTTAGCGCTAAATCATCGTTCGTATTTATTGTAAATGTAAATCTAATGTATGCAATGCGACAGTTGAATTAATGAAAAGAAAAGCGAAATATTTAGAATATATATTACTCTATATGAATTGTCTGAAATGTTCTTTCGATTTCTTCGTGTTGATTTTATCAGCTTTTTAAGATTGGTCACAACATAGCAAATTTTAAGTCTTACAAAAAACTATTCATCGTCTCCAGTTGATCCAAATATACATATTCAGATATGACCTACGGAGCTATTAACTCAGAATTTTACATAAATTACCGAGTTCACATGGAACAAAATAAGACGAAAGGAGAAAAATAGAAATTGCAAAACATATTATAATCTGCCGCGATGAATATTAAAAATTGCTTTTTGAGTCTGTTTTCTTGCAATCTAAATTAGTATAATAGAGGGTAATTTTCAATAATCACCAAAATGGTTGAATTTGTTCCAACATAAGTGATGATCAATCACTACTCGTTTTTGATTCGCTCTGATTCATAATATTTCTTGAAGTTGGAAATTTAACAGAGCAGGGATGTCGTTGAATTTTGAATACAGAAAAAAGAACTCTGTTAATCTGAAAATCAATCTTTTATCATACAGAGAAGTTTTACGCACGATGCTTTATATTTTAGACCGCAAACCAAATAGACTAGAGAAAAGCAATTGATAAATCATGAAACTGAAAGTGACTACTGCATTGCTCATGATGTTTATTGTTGGGGATTTGTGTGAAAATTCGTCTTATATTAATAATAAATTTCGGTGAGTAACTTTACTTGATTAAATCGGCATAAGATACCATTTATTTCTCATTGCTAGAATTCCGATGCATCGTATTCGACGACCATTCTGTAACAGAATGGATTATACAGCGTCCATAAAAACAATGAAGAACCAAAAACGCGCTTTAAACACTCATCAGAGAGCTTCTATAGGACTTTCGTCGGTTCCTGAAAATCTCACCAGTGTGCTTGATGTAAGTGAATATTAGTCAACATTCAGCTTAAGATATTTTTTATTAATAGATGTACTTTATGGGATCGATCTCAATCGGAACGCCACCTCAAAATTTTCTTGTCGATTTCGATACAGGCTCTTCCGATCTGTGGATACCATCAAGTCTATGTCAAGCATCTTGCGGTAGGTTATGCATATTTAGAAAAATTAGTTCTCATTCAGATCTTAATCAAAATTATTTTGGGTCTTTTTAAGGTAGCTTCAATAAATATAATTCATCAATGTCACCGACATATGTGGCAAATGGAGCAAACTTCTCAGTAGTGTATGGTGACGGTACTGGTGCCGCTGGATTTCTTAGTATTGACACTGTAACGGTAAATTAATTGAAAACTCTTGCCGAGAGAAGATAAAAACATACATTGTTAGATTCTCAATAAACAGATGAATGAATCAATATGAATTATAATTAGAGTCTCATTAGATTGAAGCTTGCCAATACTCAATTGTAGCATATAGAAAGATCAGATAAACACTTGAAAGAAAACGAATAATTCATCTATTTACTAGTGAGTATTCGTTTAGATTGATGGACTATCTGTAAAAAAATCAGACATTTGCTGAATGCACATACCTTCAGGGTATGTCGGGTCGTGCCAATGACGGTCTGATGGGTCTTGCTTATCCAGACTTGGCTGTGGATCGTGGAAGACCAGTCTTCTACAACATGTGGAATCAAAGTCTTATTCCACAACCTATTTTTTCTTTCTATTTAAATCCGTAAGTATTTCACGAATCATTCTATTTATCTCATTAGCTAATGTTGTCTGCAGTGATATTAATGCCACATTCGGTGGAGAGCTTATATTCGGTGGCGTGGATGCTAGTAAATATACAGGCTCTATTACTTATGTACATGTTTCAACTGAAGGATTTTGGGAGTTTCCATTGGATAGGTAAAAATTTATTAAACATCTTCCTTGTATTCTACATTGATCGCTATATAAATAGTGTGTACCTCGGTTCAACTAACATTAGTTCATCGACATATGCAATTGCTGATACGGGTACAGCATTAATTCGCGCACCTTCAGCTGCATTCAATTTATTGAATAGTATCCTAGGGGCAACATATGATCCAACAACTAAATTTGTATGCCACCTTTTCATTAGTTTTATCGAACAATATCGCTTTTCTGTTTTGTCATTTAGTATGCAGTTAATTGCAGATCGGGTTCATTATCTTCGTTTCCGAATATTACCTTCACCATAAATAACACAGCATTTATCTTAACGCCAGTTCAGTATCTACTCGTTGTTAAGATCTCATCAAGCCAGTACATCTGTTATAGTGTTCTCACTTTATCAAACGCCATCGATTCGAATGGGAATCATGTTTGGGTTTTAGGCGATTTCTTTCTTTATCGTTTTTATTCAGTTTTCGACATAATAAACAATCAAGTAGGTTTTGCTACGTCGATATCGTACAACTATACGCAAATCCTTAGTCCATCTTTGTTTTTATCAACAACTGCAACAACAAGTACAACAACATCTACAACAACAATGCAAATGAACTCGATGTCTAATGGAGCAATCATTCTTGTTTATGGACAAGAAATTCTATTTTACTTTGTCACTTTAGCAACACTGATGTTTAATTACAAGTAACGCTCGTCTGCATGCATGAGTATCTTGTGGGTGTCAATAGGAAAACAGATCGACCTATGCTGTAAAAAAATAGAAATCAATCTGCTAATTTCAACTCTTGCTTTTCAGCAACCAATTTTTAGTCGAACCAATTCAAATTTAAAGTTCATTATTTAGGGGTGAGGGTGTAGAGTGTGATAGAGCTGCGAAAATCTAGATTTCATAATTGCGTGTGAAGAATCATCAGTTGGGTTTAATCAAGGGCGTGGGTGTGTTTCAGGCCACCACGATGCGTTTTGATTTTTTAGAATTTGTTTGTGTTGAGTGAAAGAAAGTGGTCGAATGGGGCGTCTTGTCAGACATTTGTAGAGGTAGTTAATATTCGGCATCAGAGTATTGAAGGATTTTCTTGGTTTCGTTATATAGCGTTCTTTTGTGTTGGTGATTTTGGTTGTTGATGGAGAAATAAGAGAACCCTCAGTCAATTTTTTAAAAGTTTACAAACTATTTGTTAATGGGAAGGTCAATGCTTCAGAAAAAAACTTTCAATATAGTTAAACAGCAAAAAAAACTTTTACAAGATATCATGGAGCTTTCGTTTCATTGAAAGTAAATCGAAGCTAATAATAATTCGGAGTGCAAACATGAAAACATATAAGTATCGTTAGAAAACATGAGATACAAGTCAAACAGTTTTATAACGTACATGTTGCATACTTTCATTATAAAGTTTCGGTAGACAATACATAAGGTATCGGCTATGTAGGAGAGGAAAAGCATCATAAATCATCACTTGCATATTTGCACCATCACTTTTTACTATCTGTCTTATTATACACGGTGTTTCGATTTGTATGAATACAGAATTGTTTCTCTTGATTTCAGAACTGAATAGCAATGCAAAATACTTTTTCAAACTGACTTTTATATTATTAATTATTATAAACAAACAGGATATATTGAGCGTGTTTGAAGCATAACGGACGGGTGGCGTTAAGAGCCGAAATCGGCCCCTTGTAGGAATCGGAATTTTCTCTACCAAAATTATCAAAAACGATGCCAAAAATTGTTTTATACCAAAATCAGTTCAATATATTATATGTTTTGTAGGCACAGACAGCTCGAACTTTAATGTTCA